TTTTTTCCGCAAAAAATGCCTTACTATACATGGTCGTCTTTTTTGGCTGTGAAAAAACACCTTTCTATCAATGTTTCGGCCCTTTCAATCGGAAAAAGATCTTTACAAAGAAAGCATTGCCACCGATGCCGTCTGCAAACTCAAGGAACTTTGTCACCGGTGGTGCAGTCAAGATCAAATCCTTTTCAGACGAACAGCTGAGAAGCTGTCTCGGCTTGCGACTTTTGTCCCTGCATGCAGTCGAAGAACGGCACCAAAGTGAACCCGCGAGCTTTCGTATGGCCACTTGCCAAGTGTCCTGTTGTAGTACAGTCATTTTACCACGAGATGGTGCCGTTGCAACGTGTTAATTCTGTTGAGTGCGGCAGCCGAATCGACCCATCTCGCCAATATACAGTATTTTAACAGCACCGACACCAATTTTGTAAGCGTTACAAGGAAATCATGGACAATATTGGATGAAAAAAAGATACATGTAAAACACAGATTAAAGAGATAAAACGTTTACATTGGAGAAGACTTTATTCAGGAAACTTCTCACCAAAGACAGAGAATGTGGAAAACAGCAATAAATATCTGACATGAACAGCATAACCTGCATAAATGTTGACGAAAAACAAACAAACAAAACAAAAAAAAAGTTGTATGTTTTAATTTGTTGCAAATAACTGTCGTAGTTTCTTTTATGGAATGTAGAAAGACCAGCAATGAAATATAGCAGCAACACCATACATCAAATGGACTGATTTCCTTACAGCGTGGAAAGTAAATACACCAGCAAATGTAAACAAAATAGATACAACCTGACGTTACCTGAATATTAGGTTTCTAATGTACTGCATAGATTTAAAAACAGCTCACTTGCTCTCTTCACCCAAAGGCGGCAGTGAGTTAAAATATCAAAGTACATCAAAATATATTGGCCAAGATCCAAATCTAAGAAGTGTAATTTTCTGGAGACTTGGTGAACCCATGCAAGCTTCCTTATTTTTGTCCACGTTAATTCCATTTTAAAACTTCATATTACAGTCTGGTTGTTAAAAATAAAATCAATTAGCACTCTAGGCACATGGATGTTTAAGGCACAGCAGTTTTTTTTTGCATTCAGCAGAACAACTCCCCACAAATACACAGCGTTACAAGTATATTTTTTTACTCTTGACAAACCCGTTTCACCCAACAGGTAATTCGCCTGGACGCAACTTTTATTCAGTATAAATTAATTTGTAAAAGTTGTTGTGTGAATCCTGTGCTCTTTTACGGTGTTTATATCATAACCCTGTAAGGTCGTAACAACCAGTAAGACCAATATAGTGATAATATTCTCAAGGCTTTAAAAACAAAACAAAAAAAACAAAAACCCTCATTTAAGATTGTCTGTGGAACTCCACAAAATCAACATGTTTTTTTTTTTTTAAAGAGCTCATTATTATCTGAGACAAATAATCGCCAAGTAGCTAATTAAAATGTGCTATTTGTACAACTGAGTGAATTATAAAACTGAGTCTTAATTGGGATTAATTAATCGTAAACATCCAAGTGTGGCTATAGAAAAACATAAAAGGAGAATCTGCTCGTACTCGGGAGTAAGCTCGATGTGACGCTCACTTTCGTGACGTCCGCACAATGCAAAGACTCAAAAGAACTGTAGCAACAAAACAGCTTAAAGACAACCAAAATAAACATATTGTGACATCATTACCTCTCTGAGAGCGTCAATCAAAAGGGAGCCTTGTCACTTTTACCTTTAGCTCATGTGTGAGAGCTTGTACAGGTTTACCTAAAGAAGTGCCTTGTGAGTTTATCCTAGGAATTTAAAAAAAAAAAAACTTTTTCTTGACAGTGATACAAATCATAAAGACCTGGGATTATTTCCTTGGGAGAAACCATGTGGCTCTCACGAATGAGCCAATCCTGAGATCACACATGGTGTCATCATTACAATGACATTTTTTTTTTTCCGTCTCTGATATTGTGATACAGCTCGACCTTGTTTACAAATAATGTCACACATGGACAAATGCTCTCCTCGCAATTTTAAATCCGAAAGAAGAATGTACTTCTAAAAATGTGGGATACAACTGGGGCCCCCATAAATACATACAAACTTGATCCCAAAGAACATTTTGACACAAATGTTCTGATTGTCATACGTGCCCTTAACCTCTAACACGTTGACGGTTGGACTTTTAAACCTCAGTGACTTTACTGATCTGCTCCGGCACCTTTTCTACTACCACTTCTTTCGGTTGGGGCGCTTGGTCACCTTCATCATCGACGCTGAGGTCCAGCCGCAGGTTATCAAGAGTCTGGCGAATTGTCAGAGTCTCCTTACGCCTAAAAAGGGCAAACAATTAGGCTTTCACGTTCTGTGTGTGTTTGTGTGTGTGTGTGTGTGTGTGTGTGTGCGTGCCGAGAGCATACTTTGTCTGCAGGTGTTGGTCGAGCAGCTGCCTCTGCAGCCGCCCGTTCGATTCCCTCTCCTCGGCCAGTTCCCGTTGACAGTGACGGAGTTGAGCGTCCCTCCTGCTGGCCTCCTCCTCGGCCTCGTTCAGCTGACGCTTGAGCGAGCGGATTCTCTGGGCCATCTGCATGAGCAGAGAAATTGAGCATGTATACGCAAAAGAGACTAAGTGTAAGTATCAGCTAAAATATGTCAAAGGTAGAACTATTTTTCGATGAGACTTTTTTTTTTTTTTTAAAGGCAGCTCTTGAATTGGTTTCTGTTAGACGATGGATTTTCATCGAATGAACTATCCGTTTCACTGCATATTCAGATTTGTCCTATTTGGAACAGTTTTTTTTTTTTTTTTTTGAGAACGTTGTCGACCTTATATGAACATGATTGTGCCATGACGTGCGCGTGCGTTACCAGGTCTTTCTGCTCAGCAGCTATCCTGTGCTCTTCCTCCATCTGATCGGTCAGCTCATTGATCCTTCGCTCCAGTTTCCCAATAGTGTTCGAAAGAACAGCTTTGTTCCTACCCGGAACACAAATGGAAACTGGGCCTGACATAATGCACTACATGACAAGTGCTCTTCATATAAATGCCAACACACGTTTGATGCAATTCTTTCCAAAAAAAAAAAAAGCTACAGTACCTCTCCTCAGTTCTCAAAACGTTCTCCAGCTCTTTGACACGACTCTCCGTTTTGGAGATGACATCCTCCAAAGGTTTGGTGCTCTCCAAGTCATCCATCTCCAGACGCAGGTCACGATACTTCAGGCAGACACAGAGATCATTTTAGGAACGATGAGCACTATACCATCATTTTAGCCAGGTATTAAAAACAAAAAAACAAAACTATAATTAAATCTCCAAAACTTAAATGAACACACATAAAATATGTTTACATTTCAAAAAAATTAAACAAATTTATGAGAATGAAATAAGTGCCAACATATGATATTTAGAAGAATGCATTTAAAAAAAAAAAATTAACATTGGCATGAGTGTTTACAGCTACCCACGGACCTACCATTGCTACTTTGATGATAGATATTGACGCCATTCTGGATAAGGGAGGCAACGTGGGCCATAATCATCAGATTGAGAAACAACTTTGAAAATCCCCCAAATTTCACACTAGCATGCGCAAAACACACACACACACACACGTGCACACACCTGTCTCTCAATGATGTTCTTCTCAGTTTCCAGTTGGTCGTTCTGATCTTTCTCTTGAATGAGCTTCAGCTGCAGCTGCTCGGTCTTGACAGGAAACACGAATACGTGATCAATCTCAAGGAAAATGTCTCTAATCAAAAAGGGAAAATCGTGAAGTGCAGTTGGCGTACCTGCTCAATGGCTCTCTTGTGCTTGGCGGCCCATCGCTGCTCACTATCTTGCAGCTCCTCCACATCGGTCTCGAGGTCAATAATTTTCTCCTAGGAGGAAGAAAGGAATCAATAAGTCGCGGGGCATACAACCTTTTCCAACTAGCGTGTCGTGTACGCGACGTGACCTCATCAGCAGCACACGCTGAGGTTATTTCGAAATGGGACAGATTAGGTATGTTCAGAAATAGCGACGCGATGAATTTTGGGGGATTATGGAATTTGTGTACTGATTGCTAAATGGGATTTGCATAATTAATACCCCATTAACCCCAAACTGTTGGTACGCATGACTGATGAATTCAAGTGGACATCTTCGTTTTCAATCTTTACGTCGTACACGTCAACACGCCACGGAGGCAGTCTGATCTACTGCTGGAAGTAGAAAGCAGAAGAAAAATCCTGATCCCCAAAACTCAGTTCAAAACAACGACGACGGACAATGACGGCCCGGTGAAATTTGCCGATGGTCCTAAAATAGCGCTGACGAACTGTAATTCAGCGGCGACGGAAGTGCGGTTAAAATAACAACGAGAGTGACGGACCAGCGGTGACAGTTTTGGTTCGGCTTGAAATAACGACGGACTGACGATGCCGGGACGGGTGACCCGACCTCTGGCGAATGACGGACTGGCACAATTTACCAAAGCGGCCACCTCTGATAATAACAAACAACGAGACAAACTGTATCAAAAACTGTGTCGCTCTCCGCGCCGTTAATTGCCCGGTTGGGCTGAGGTGTCTAAACTACGGCCCGGGGGCCACTTGCGGCCCAGCATCCATTTTGGAAATGAACAAGACAATAAAAACAATAGGACTGACATTGGCCATGGTAAAATATAAAGTGATGGGAATACATGGGCCTGCTTGAGTTGTTTGGCCAGGTCGTCTTTGGCCTGGACGGTGGTCTGCAGCTCCATTTGGAGATCGTCCACTGTCCTCTCGGCCTGCTTGCACTGCAGCTGCAGTCTCTCTCTCAGCTGGATCTCCTCCTCCAGCGTCTGCTCCTTGTCGATCAGCTTACCAGACACCTGCGTCCAACGGGCATCGTATTATCACGCACAAATATTACTGCAGCGTCTGGCCTTGGTTGAGGTCCGGCGGTAAGAGAGGGAGACTCACGTCTCCCTGCAGCCTGACGACGAGCGCTTGAAGTTTCTGCAACTCTTGCTCCTTCTCCAGCAAAGACTCCTCCAGTTCCTCCATCCTCAGCTGGGCATCCTGACGCAATTTCTGCTGAAGATTCAACTCCGCTGTGGACTGCGCGGACATCTGCAAGGCTTCGGCCAACTGGAGATACAAGTTGAGGCGTGTCACGCAGGGGTACTCGTATTAAAAGCTTACAGAAACAGGCCGGGCTCATATCAAGTTCATTTCTCATACATAAGTCACGATGCAACTTCATACCAATCATGAACGAGTAATATCAAACAAATTCATTCACGACCGAGAGCAAGCAAGTCTATTACTCGTCCCAGCCAAGAGACTTACGGTTTAGGAAATATTCTTTTACTCAATGAAGGTCAAAAATGAAATCACGAGCACAATGAGGTGTGCGGGCACTCGTTTCTGTTCATCCCAACGGGATGGCAGTGAGAGATTAAAACGGAGAAAGTGTCTGAGATGGTTTCCGAAAGTGTGTTACTGCACCTCCGTCTCCAGCCGGAGGACGGTGCTGCTGAGCTCAGACGTCTTCTTGCTTTTGCTGTTTTTGTCCACCTCCAGCTCCTCCAGTTCTCTCTCGGCCATCCATAACTTCTCTGCCAGAGTCTGCGAGTGCTGCGTCTGTTTCTCAAGGCTGTCCTGCAGGGCACACGCACACACACAAAATTGTCCACGATCTTTTGAACGTAACCATATCTGTTCTGTTGGATGTACACCCATTTTCGTTCGTACCAGCAACAGGCACTACAAAGTCTGTCAGTGTCATTTTGTCGTTTTGTACCTCAGCATCCTGGATCTTGTTTTTAAGGGTCTGCTGGAGGAAGCCGAAGGCATACTCCTGAGTGTTGGCCTCCAGCATCATGTCGCGGGCCCGCTTCACCTCAATCTGCACGAATGGCCGTCAGTCAGTCGCCGCCTCGGTCGGTCGATTCCCATAACGTACGTTTTTGTACCTCCATCTCTCTCTGCTTCTCCGCCAATGCCTGATTGGCTCGCTCCATCTCGATCATTTGCTCTCTCATCCGCTTCATTTCGTTGGACATTTGAGTGTTGGTCCTGAGTAGGTCTTCGTTGTTCACCAGCAGGCCCCGCATTTCAAACCTGAAGGCAAAGGATGCGATAAGAAGTTTGGCTTGCGTCACCACACAAATGGTGCCGCGTGTGTGTGTGTGTGTGTGCGGGTGCCATTACGCTTTATACAAGCAGTATCTATGAGAAATAAAGAAGACAGTTGGAGGAGAAGTGGGATGATGAGATCACCTAATCTGGCTCCTCTCCTTGTCCATCTCCACACTCTCGGCCTCCAGGAACTGGTTACGCTGGAGAGGACATACACAATGCGATAAGAAGTTTGGCTTGCGTCACCACACAAATGGTGCCGCGTGTGTGTGCGCGGGTGCCATTACGCTTTATACAAGCAGTTTCTATGAGAAATAAAGAAGACAGTTGGAGGAGAGGCGGGATGATGAGATCACCTAATCTGGTTCCTCTCCTTTTCCATCTCCACACTCTCGGCCTCCAGGAACTGGTTACGCTGGAGAGGACATACACACCATGTTATTTCTTGCATTGCTCTTCAGATAAAGGCCTCAAATACACCAAACTCGGGCAAAACTGTGCAATGTGCTTTCAAATAAATTTCGTTGGACACCGTTCATGAGGTGTTTTTGAGATTTTGGTTTCCTCTAAGGTCTACAATGTTGTAATAACCCTCTCGGTGTGATGCAGCGAGGGAAGAAGGCCCCACCTTCTGACAGTTATCCAACTGTTTGGTCAATTCCTCGATGAAGTCTTTTCGACTGAGGCCTCCCAGAGTGGCGGCACGCATGGTGTAGTGGGTTGCCATCACCTGCAGCAAAGGAGACGCATATCCGCATGACAGGAGCCCAAACGAGGTAGAATGTGCGTTTCTTCAGAAGCGTACGGAGTTGGGACCATCGTTCCTCCTCTTCAACAGAGAATCGTAGGCAGAATATCGCTGGCGAGGAACGATTTGGGCGGCGGGCCCGCCCATCGGCACGGGACTGCTGCTGCGACTATTGAAGGTGTGCAGGCTCCACTCCGATGTGGCTGGAGAAATTCCACCCTGGGTGAAGATCGAAGTCGTGTTAACCGCAGTACTCCTTTTGATCTGGTTCTCTAAACAAAATTCTTCATCGATTACTCAGTGAGAGGGGTGGAATGGACTCCTCGGTTCTCCTTAAATTTTATGACTTACTCTTTCAAAGCCATTGTGGAAAACACTTTGCTTTCAAGATTGTGGGAATAGTGTTCTTTGATTTTTTTTTTGGATTGTTTCAAAGCATTTTTTCACTATGTGTTTCAGATGAAAATATTACAAACCTTAAACTCATTTGTTCGGTACATGGGGTTATAATCAGCAGATGCGTTCACATTCATGGTGTAGGGACTGTTAAAAACACGAGGGCTTTCAACGAAAGTCTGTAAAAACACACACACACACACACACACACACACACACACAAAAAATTGTTATATGATAGCTATTTGACATTTTACCATATGCATCTAATAGTTTATCTCATCGCATTTCTCAACTTAACTCAAGTGAATTTCTAGAGACTTGGGAAACAACTACCACTGTATACAAAGTGCCGTACATGGAGCAAAAAGAATTCCTACAACAAACAAATTTTTTTTGCTCAGCGGGACATCGATCTGACAGTCATCCACATAGCAGTAGAAGGAAATACCATGTTTCCTTAAGATGGAACCCAAAGAGAGCAGATAGAGTAGAGAACAGCAGAGGCCCCAGAATTGAACCCTGTGGAACACCACACGACACTGGGGAAGTTCGTGACTCAGCACATCCAAGGCAAACATAAAAAGTTCTGTCAGTCAAATAGGAGCTAAACCACTCAAGGGCGCTACCGCCAATGCCCACCGGGTGCTGAAAATGAACCAACCGAATTCTAAATCCAATAAAACCAGACACACATCGTCTCCAGTGTCATTTGCCAGGAGGATGTCATTAAAAACTTGTCACAGGGTTGACTCTGTGCTATGCATCATTTTGAAACCTGACTGGAAGACCTCCATGTGCAGAATTTTTTAAATGAAAGGCAGCTTGGAAACGGGCCTAAAATTTGACAGTACATCTTCATCAAGTTCATATATCTTGAGCACTACAGCATGTTCAAATTGTTGGGGAACTATACCAGAAGACAGACTGGTGTTGATAATGATCAAGACCGAATTACCGATACTCGGGAGAACCTCCTTAAAGAAATGGGGATGAACAGAGTCAAAAGGGGAGTCGGATGGCTTCGTCTGGAAAACCACACCCTCTAAAAACGTCAAGGACACAGCTTCAAAATATTTCTACCTTAGATATGCATTTTAAGGCAAGAGAAAATGGATGAATGGAAACAGACAGAGGATACATTAAATCTGTATTTTTACCAACAGATGGCGCTGTTAGACAACAAGTTAGTTGCATCTGATCCGACAGTTGAGGGGAAAAAAGCATCAGACATCCATCCTTCCATTTCCTATACCACTTTCTTGAGGGTGGGGGCGGAGGTGTAGGGGTGAGCAGGAGGCTACCCCAGCTAACTTGACCGCTCGGAGGCGGTGTACACCCTCAACTGGACTGGTTCACTTTACATCTTGCCACGTCAATGCCACAAACGCCTTGGAATTGTCAATCATTGCCCACGGCCCTGTGCGGCACCCTTGCATAAATAAAGGCTCCCCCCCTTCTGTCAATCACACAAACGTGGCCTTTGAAAAAACACAAACACACACACTCCTCAGTCCCACCCACCCGATCAGTTTCTAATTCCCGCGAGGCGACCGACTCCATGGACCCTTGGAAGTTGTTGACCCCCGGCCGAGTGGTCTCCCACCGCGACAGCCTGGGGCTGTTGTCCCCCAGTGATCCTCCACCTCCCGGACCATCTGTATCCTTGCTACTCAAGCCGTTGGTCTTCGTATCGTTCTCAAGGAACAGCTGATATTTGGGGCTGGGTGGCACGGCTCGGGGAGTGGAGGGCTCCTCCTCTGACAGGCTGTCCGATTGCTTGTTTGATTCGGTTTCAGGTTCCTGGGGAGAGAAAAAAAAATCCATCATGATATGACCACAGCAACATTTTAGCAAGCAAGTTTGATTTCACCGTACGCGTGCTGATGTTGTTCGGATGAAATGCAATTTATTCCCACATTTTACTCCTGCAGGGTGCTGAATGATGCACCTTTCAATTTTCATGCTTGAATCAGCTCGGAGACCCTGACAATTTTTCTCATCGATAAATAGATGTTCAACATCCTGCCTCTTAGCTCGCTGAAAACAGCAGGAGGCCCCCGCTTTTAAAAGGTACAATACATTGAACGAAGATATGCTCTGAAATGAAAATACGAATGCACCTAAAATGCACTATAACCACTGCGAGGCGTCAAACGTTGTCAATAGGGAATTGGCCACGGAGCTTTGAGTGTCAAAAAGTGTCATTTGCAGGTTGCAAGAGCGATACAGAGAGACTGGAAGTGGCACTGGAAGGTGTAGACATTGCTGTCTTTCGGGGATAAAAAAAACCAAAACATTTTTGTGGAAGCGGGAGAACAGCAAGGTCTGCAAAAAGGACTGAAACATGAACCGGTTGGACACCTGCATCAAATGGTTTGGAGAACGTGAACTTCAGTTCACCTCTCAAGATGACGGTGCATTTTAGGTTCATCCAAAAAATGTGACCCACAAGCCAGATTTCCCTAACATTTTGTGATGAGCGGATATTTTAAAGTTTTATTAAAAAAAAAAAACACACAAAAAATGTGCATGCATAAAGATAAAAGGAGCTGCAAATTGCAAGTCTGGACACTAATGACGAGTGACTTACCCCGGCTTTAGGGCTTTTGAATATTATTTTAAGTTAGAATTTATTATAAAGTTGTTTTATGATGTTTTGGGCATCTTCTGCTCAAGCCAATGTGCCTCAGATTCTGTCCAGGGAATGAAAAAAAAATTTTTTCAAAATCCATAATTTACCTTGAAGCCACAATAAGTCACCGCTTTGCCACAAACGACGACTCAACAAGAAGCCACACAGGAATTACAAATGACAACGTCAATTTTACCACATCCTATCATGCAGTAAGTAAGATTGTCATTTGGGGATAACCTATGATGGGGAGAAAAAAAATCTACAAGGAGCAGGAGGAAAGATAGACTCTAAAACTATCTATTAGCTTTGATTATGGAGGACATGCTCAGAATCTCCTTGGTAGCCCGTGACACTTATTTGCATGCACTTTAAAAAATTGTTTTTGCAATGGTGCATTTTGAAGAACATGCAGTGCCATGCTGCCATTTTGTCTCCATGCAGAGCAAGATATGAGCCTTGCCTGTGCAAAATTAATTTTCGCTTACCGATCCCATGCCAGAGTCCGCCACCGAATCTCTACCAGAGTCTGCCGTTTTGTTTGACTCTGTCCTCTGACTGCCGCCTGTTACTGGACAATCGATTCTTCCAGTTATCGGGCTAATTCCAGCGTCTCTCTGAGCAGATCCATCGGATCGCTCGATTTTCTCCTTGAGTGGAGGGGTCACCGAGATACTCGGCAGCAGACTGTTGTCTCGAATGACAAAGGTCGGACTCAACTTGGACTTAGGGGACAGGATTGTCTCGGAGGAAGTGAACTTTTGAGCTGTTCCTGCTCCTGAACAGAGACTCGGAGAAGACCCGGGATACAAGTCGTGCTCCGGACCGGAGAATTTACTGATAAGGTCTTTGACGCTGCCGGCTCGCTTGAGATTTGAGAGGCCCGCTTTCCTCTGACTGGCTCTCCAGTTCTGCTCGGCTTCTTCTTTGTTGGCTGTCTGCTGTGGACTAAGTGGCGATTGGGAGGAAGAAGACTCAGGTGTATGCTGAAAGAGGCGAACACAATAACAACCCGCCAAAAATCACGTTAAGGATGGAGCAGCAGAAACACGCCACAGCATTTGAGGTGCCGGCCACAACCGTCGGACAGTTTTGATCAAAAGGCCACAGTGCTAGTTTCTTTGATGTGTGTTTGTTTCAATGACATCTGGGCAGAAGACAAAAAAATCTATCGATGCCACATGATGGTAGAAAAGCATTTTCTTCCTTCAGACAATGGCTTAGCTCCTCCCTCCGTGGCACCAAGGCCGAAGCGATATTTTTTATATTAGACACGGCGAGGGTCAAAGGACCAAAACAGCAAATAGGTGAGTTTTTTTTCAACGAATGACAGAGGAAAGGTGCCCACCCACCTCATGCTCATGCTCTCGATCTTTAATGTTGTTTGTTTGAAAAATAGCATAATATTCATGATGCGCATGCGGGCACGCGCGTGTATGTGCGCGTGTTCTAGTCCTGACATAAATCCCTCTTGAGAAACTGCAACATCTGCTCGCTCCTCTAAAAACATCTCCCAGCGAAACAAACACCAGGCTGTCTCTCACAGAAATAATTAGATAAAAGAGGTAGACTCCAAAGTCCACTTGACTTAATAACTCAAAAGAGACAAAAATGAAATGAAAACGGCAACATTTTATTTATTTCTTCCCGACCGACTACTCGACGACCGTAAATACAACTTTAATGAGCAAATCATGACAACGAGGCCAATGCCACTTAGAGAAATGAAGTGGCAGGAATCCAAGCGTTGAAAGCATCGCGTGGCCTTAATCCCGGGGACTCGCCTGTCCGCCTCCCCGTGGGATTGCGAGTCGAGGCCGGGCTGGGAGAGGAGGCAAACCCTGAGGGGGACCGAGGCGGGGACTAAAAGGTTATCTGGGGTTTGGGATCATTGCTCGGAACTACAGTATTAACATGTTGACATAACGCGAGAGGATTAGCTCGAAAGCCGTTATTTGAATGTTATTATTCTCAACCTGTATAGCGAGTGTTCATTTTTGACATGGAAGAGGGAAATCACATCTTAAATCCTGCTTGGTGTGTCTGGTCCAAACAAAGATGAAGAGGACAGGCTGTGAGACTCCTCGACGTGGCCGTGTTGGTGTTTAAACTGGTGGCCTCCCCCTGTTAACTGCATGTTCTGTCCTCATGTCCTACCAGCCGCGATTCGCAGGCAGTCAAATTTGATCAGGTACCAAGAACGATGGAGATGTTTGCAGAGATTTCTTTGGATGGGTCGACTTTGTTGACGAGGCACCCGCAAAGAGATTAAAGTCATCTGCGCAAAGACAATAGGAGCTAGAAAGCTTTTTTTTTTTTTTTTAAATTAAAAAAAAAAAACAAAAACAACCAATCCATTTTGATGGACTGTTGATCAAAATATATCCCAACTCATGAAACTGATTTCCTCAAATGTATTTCAGGTATTGTATTTTTTTTTTCAGAAGCTCAAATATATTCTTTTCCCCTCTATCAACTTCCTTTCAACCCACATTTAGATGTGTTATTCTTTTATGACGCGCAACTCAAAATTCAGATGATAACGGGCCATTTTTGTTTCTGTGAGCATATAGCCATATGTTACAATTTTTTAAAGTCTCATCATGACCGGCTAGGATGAAATTTGGTCCAATCCTGCATCTCTCTTGATCCTATGTGGGAAAAATAAAAATGATTTTACATATCGCTGGATTAAACCCATTTGACTAAGCCTATTTAATGAGATGTATCGCTTAATGATGGGTTGAATAAGAATCATTTTAATTACTGTAAAGGATAACGGCAAATCACAGCGCAAAAGTCGGAATTTTAAATACACGAATACAGTCAATCTGGTTTTTGATTAGCAGATGTTGTTGTCAGTCAGATTTTTTTTTCTCAGCTCGCCGCTCAAAAACAATGAACGAAAGCAATATACAGCTTTGACAGGAGGATTCCTCCAATTAACGACAGATATTTAAAATGCTCACTCTTGAAGTGGCATTCAAGTTTGAATCATTTCAGTGAGCCAACGTATGTGCGTGCGTGCACGTGTGACTCGACGGCATATGTGGCCTAACACAAATGCACAAATCCAAGATGTGTCTCAGTGACATTTCCAAACCTTTCATGAAATAGAATCCAAATCTATTACGGTGATTTGTAATCATCGTGATATGTGATGACATGAAGCCTGGCTCATTTTCTGACAGATTAAGGCCAAATAAACTGATGAATTGGTTCGAAATCCTCTTTTAGGACCGGATTGGCTCATCTAGATTAGTACACCAAGTGTAAGAGTGCAGGTTTGAATGCCCCGAGCGGCCATTTCCACTCGGCTGAACAGCATGCAATCATTAGCCTTTTTACATTACGACCAAATTATTTTGGTATTTCAATAAAATTAATAAAAAATAAATAAATCTGATTCAGGACAAATCACGCATCGTTCTTTATACCGTACTTAATCCCTGTTTCCTCCAGGTCAAAATGACCCAGGTGGAATTGTGGGAAAAAAAAGGTTGTCTGGTGTGTCTGCGGGACTTGACGGTGTTGTTCGCATTGGCAGTGCGCCTATCGGGTCTTTGTGTTTTAGCATCTCCAGTTAAACTCTGATGACACTTTTGACAGGCTTTCCTGTTAGAAGCCTCAACCCCCCCATCGTTACCTGTCAGAGCTGTGTCAGTCTATTACCTTTTTTAGGGGAAAGATGCTAAATGTGTGTGCGCGTGAGAATGTGTGCGTTTGTTTGTATAAGCAAGTCAGACTGAGCCAGATGAGCAGGCAGATGTTTCCTCTGTGTCTACTCCAACTGTCTAAGAAAGACTGACAACAGCTGGACCCATGCCAGACACACACATGTACGCACGCACACACGTACACGTTTTATTCTCTCTTATGCTTTGTGTGTGAAACTTATTTTAAACTATTATCATTTCACTTCAACCATTTTGGGATTCCCAGTTCTTGGACAGGTCCAGAAATTGTGGCGACCGATTCACTTTTGGTAAGACGCGTGTATGTTTTTCGCATGAATGTGCACCACCGATACATAGCGAGGTCCATTAAAGCATGGTTGGATGCGTTGGGTTTTGAGGCCCGTGCGAACCCTGACCTAAACCCCATCAGACATCTGAACTAGAACAGTGATGGTGATCCAAAGCCAGCGACCTCTAACCTGACAATCAAATGCTTTATGTTAGTATTATTATTATTTTGTTGTTGTTGTTGTTAAGAAAGTTCACAAACGTGATTAAAAACAGGGCATTGAGAGTTGAGATGAGATAGTGAGTTTTTCACTGTACCATGTTGTTTGTCTCGTTCTTTTCTTGCATGCTTTGGCCACGGGTGCTGTTGGTGGTGGAAGGCTCGTCTTCCTCTTCTGGCCTGAAGGTAGAGAAGAGACACAGAAAGTTTCCGCTTGTGGCATTAGTTGTATTTACTACAACCACTTGATCGTTGTGCTGAAATGAGTCCATTAACTTATGCCATCAGATTTCAATGAGTCATATTTAAATGTTTAGGGATTCAGGACTCGTTGTATTTTACAAACCCAGTAAGCGGCATTTGGCGGTGTGGGGGGGTCGACATATACTTCCGCCGTGTAGACTCTGGCGCTTAATTAGCGCGCTGCATTTCAAGGCAACTTTGACCACCCCCACAGTGGCGCAGACCTCCCCCTAGCATTGCCACCAGTCTGTGCTTATCAGTGAAATAATCATCACCAGATCTAACCCGCCTCCAGACGGAGTTACGCCACACCACGCAAGAGTTACACCAGGGGATGAATTTTCACTAAAGAAAAGTTTTGCTCGTCTTCATGGCAAATAGCAATGCTAAAGGATCAGTTCTACTCGTGATGTGTCGCTGCGTACCTGTGTTTGCTTATTCTCTGTGTGAATCGGGTTAGTCTCTTTGTCTCTTCTTGGTATCTGTGCAAGTCTTCTGTCAGAAGGTCACCAAGTGCGCTCAGTGCCTCCTTCCGGAACACAAGCTTCTCCAACTGGATTAGAGAACCGGCAATAGAGGGCTGAAGCTCCTTACAAGCCCTCAACTGCAACTGGGAGGGGAGACAAAGGACGGCGGCGTGACCAAGAGTGCAGGTTGAACGTGCTTCTCTTCTCAATGCTTTTGAAAAACAATTTTTAAGAGGTCGACTGCATGTTACAACACTATACTTGCAAAGCGGGATTAAGACGCATGCTATCTCGATGAATATTCAGCCAATCAGCGCAGCCACGGTCAACCTCTTCAATGCTACCGCGGCCTGGTTTTGTTTCACTCACAGCGGACGTCCGAAGGGCTGGGCGACTCGTGAATTCTTGCTGGATTTGTTTCTTCTTCTCTTGCAGAACAAACAAGTCAGAGGTCAGCTGCTGCAGACGGGCCTCAATGTGGAGCTGTCTGACAACACACAAGTGAAAGAGGTTTCCGAGTGGACCTCAACAAACTCCTCGCTTGACTCCTGAGTCGGTTTTAATTAAAAGCACACCGCAGCAATTAATCGTGAACCACGAACATGTAGTTTGAGGGTTTATTTTCACGACAGCGTCATTGACTATCAACCCACTAGGTGACGCCAAGCGCCTGTGTTCCAAAGAACCAAGAAGAGCCGTCGATGAGTCGAGAAGTGTCGGGTGTGAACTCGCTGAGAGAAGACTGATCAACACACTCAAGTTTGAGATGCAAAGGAGCGGAAATGACACAAACATTGGAAGAAAAACATGAAACTGTCCTGTTAGTACGGCCGTCAATGAGGCCGGAGAGAGTAGCACGTTTTGAGATCCGATGAAAGCAAAACGCTCATTCAACAGTAATTCATCCAATGCAGTGATCTCCTGCTTTATTGTGCTTCATCACTTGTGCTCCTGCATTTGTTCTTTACAAATTTGTACATTATAGATGGATAATTGATGGATGGATGGATGGATGGATGAATGGGCATACTGTATATTTGAGAGAGAGAGAAATTTCAACTGTCCTTCAAAACTGATCCAAACATTCAAGTCTTCATTAAAAATGTGGAACATGTGACAAGTGAGGAGGAAAATTATAAAAAGCAATAGAAAGTGCCGTGATTAACACGCATACACGGGCACGCACACACGCGCACGCAGCCACTATGCCAGCTGTCAGTGTGTTCTGATTTGGTGCTTGCGTAAATAGGGCTCCATAATTATATGGACGTATGTGACAAACATCATAATTGCAGGTGAAAAAAAAAATGTGTGGGTGTCGCTTGTTTCTTCATTTTTATGAGCTACTGTTGGCCTGTCTCCACACTTGCAGCCCGTCACAGGAATCATTTTTACTTCTATGGTATAGAAACATTTTGTGCGTATTCATGAATGTCATACTGTTGTATGCGTCTACAGCAAAGTAAAAAAAAAACAACAACAAAAAACAATTCTTGAAAAATTCTATGTAGAGATGAATCAATTGCATGTTCAAATGAAAAAAAATGGAATTTTAGGAAAAAGATGGGTTGTGTGTACACTGGAAACGTCACATGCCAATGCATACCATGTTAGGAAAATTGTACATCTTAAAATTTTTTGCTGCCTCTCCAACCCCCCAAAAAATAAATCTCCTTATATTTCTTTAATTTAGAATCATAAGAACTTTTTATTTCGGAGCTTGCAAACATGATACAACATTTTAACAGCGTCTCATAGACCCAATAGTGAACTCCTAAATTCCTCTTTGTTCCATGTTGGGAGCTTAATTTTATTTATTTATTTTTTTTGTGTAATTTGATATATTTTGGGCTATATGCATACCGTCAACGATATCATAAAGTGACAAGCGTCACACTGCAAACTGCACCCACGTTAAAAAGTCGGTGGCAAATGACAAACGTCACATCATAATGCCGTTGACATTTTGTTTGGGATTATGTTCTTGCAAGCCTCAAATCAGAAGATGCAGACTTTGTATTCCCCCCCACCCACCCCCTTAAACTTTAAAAGGCCTTATCACCACAACAAAGAAACGGCAGAAAGTGACTCAAATGGGATGAAGTCAAGGGATTACATCCTGACACTCGAAAGACAAGCGTACACTGACACCCTCTTTTAGTGTCACGCACTGCCAAATCCCTTTTCCTCCACTCCACGGGAACCAGGATTGACGCTGTCATTACGACACAATCACAAACGTAATTTAAGTGTATAAGGAGTGGATATCCTTTTTGGGGGTGGCCCATCGTCATCGCGAAAGTTCCTACTCAATATATGGCTATGAACGTGTCTGATCCAGCCTGAAACATGATGTCAGTCCTTTCAGTTCAAGTGCCAAAATTCAAGGGAAATGAGGCGATTTCCAGGAAGTGTGTCATTAAACCGTGTGAGTCGGCCGGGCAGACTTGGTTGGCACACCTTAAATGCGGAGCTCTGTTTTAGCCTGCCGTGTCTGTCACGGTCTGGTTAAGTGTTGTTCTGCCAAAGAACCTGTCATGGCAGGAGCATAGAGAGAGGGAGCGCATAAGGTGAGGCCGACATCACCAGAAGATTCCCTTTCCACACAATGTGGGCCAGTAAAGGTCAAGTTCAAAGTTAAATAAATATGGTTGGTCAAATTTCTACCGCTGCGTCTGTGATGTCATTCGACTCCAGCCTCAAACACTCCAATTTCCTCACCGGTGTAAATCCTGCATGGCGCGTGGCGCACGGAATCAGGTAGGACCCGCTGTTAGTAATTTCGCAAATGGGCGCAGAGGGAGGGCGGCGCTGCCGTGGGAGTGGTCACGGACGACTTCAATCATGGCCAATCATAGTGGCGCCTTTCATTCCCTTATCGTTGCCAAGCATATAGCCAAGACTCTCGTTCCATCGCATCGGCCAAATTTGGCCACAACTGTCAAACACGCTCACGAACCTTGCGCTAATACAAAATCAGGATCCACCAATTTTTGTACCACGTTGCCTACAAAAACAGAGCCCTTCTTGTTCAAGTTATAAAATAAATGTTGACTGGATGCATTGAGCCGGCCGAGTGACTCGGAAGTCATGTGAAAAACTAAAAGTCGTTTGGAATTCGGACTTCGACATAATATGCTGGTTAAAACAGGATTAAAAGCTCAATGTTCCTTCAGATGCCACTGAGTCCGGACCACATTTTCAGGGTATCCCCCAAAAATATATCCACACTTTAACTCGTTGTAAACTAGGTGTCTAATTTTCGACATGTGAAAGAATTTGCACGCAGTTTAATCAGTGCCGGCAAAACGTGAGCAATCCTCCGTTAAGTCAAGATTTGAACAAAAATGTGATTCACTTTGCCCCGCATTGCAAATCCCCTGCGGGAATTAACAGTTATTGGCCAACAAGTATGGACTGTTTCTCCTTCGAGGCGTTCAACGTGCGGCTTGTCGTTATGCAAAATGTGAAGAATGACAAAAGGAGATGAGATCATGGGGAATTTGTTTTCTTTCTCATCTTTGCACACCTGGATGTTCAATTTGGGATGGCATTTTATTGGATGGCAAAAGGTTTGATTTTGGAATGAAGCAGGCAGGGCGGGGGGTTCGACCAAATCAATCCCAAGTCAATCCCCCAAAAATGGTGGACTCAATTATTTTTACCCCGAAAAGTGCAGCTGACTTTGGATGACAAGATGCAACAATATGACATTGCAAACCGTTAAAATGAAGTTGAGGCACACTTTCTGGGTGGGAAAAAAAAAGTGTAACATTTTCGGTTCAGTCAGTTGAAGCAGAAGGCTGATTTGGGCTGCTTTTTCTACGTCATTTGTTCCATGCGTTGCAGGTGCATTGTTCTTTTGGTCTCAATTTCTTTCAGCGGCGCGCCAAAGAAACCGAAAAATGCCAGTAATAGGCTTTTATTAAAAAGCCAACTCGATTACTGTTGGAAAGAAGGAGGAAGTACGAGCTAGATGTGAAACATGGTGTTCTCGCTGCACCGTTTGGTTTTGCAAAATCTACCATCTGTACTATTGTGAAGAACAAAGAGGCAATAAAGGCAGCAGATGTGGCTAACGGAGCAAATGTTTTGACAAAGCAAAGACCAAACGATGGAGGAGGAGAAAGAAAAAAAAAGGATGGCGTTCATCATCAAAATCATTACTGGTGTGAATTAAAAGAGAGTTCAAAAAATTAAAACATTGCCCAGCGAGATGCAAACAAACACACATGAATGCATGATTTAACTTTGGCCGCGGTACTTCACTTGCTCGCCTAGATTAGACGACGAGGAACTCTACTAAATGTATTTCGACCACGGACAGGATCGTGCTGCTTTTTCTCGGACGGCCCTGAAGCTTCTGCGGTTGCGAGATACAATGAAACATCCCCAGACGTGTTTCAGCCGTGTGACGAAACCCCACAAAGCCGCACCGGGCTGCCTCCTAACACGTTCAAACACAACATGCGTCTCAAAAGGGTTTCACTGACGCACGCATGTTTTTCAGGTTAAAATCTCTCCGAGCACAACGTCTGACGCCCTTTTTCCAGAAATAGACTCAAATTGAAATCCATCTTTCCACGTGACAAAAGCTTGCCCCTGTAGTTTTGATGGTCAAAAAGTACGGGGAAGCGCATCTTCCACAAGACGCGATCGCTTTCATCAAAGCGATGCACTCACTGTGTCTGTATGCTGTTGAGCTCGTGTTCAGTCTCTGTCTGCAGCTGCTGGAGGTGAAAGGTCAACTGCTTACTCAAGACAGCAAACTTCCACAGTCCTCCTCCGGCGTCCTCCGCAAACGCCGCACCCTGAGACAAAAAATTCAGATGACCTTAGAAAGTACTTGCCGACGACAAATCCAGAGGGTCGATTTAACCTCGACCTGAAATCTACTATTAGGCGACATGGGCGACAACCTCCAGCGCGCACGAGTCAAGGTCATGAACAGAACCGAAAGGAGTCAGATTGAGGTTAAGGTTTTCCTCGGTGGGACATTTTGACCATGTAAAATCATCTCGATAGATAACAATCTTATAAAGGTTCCAAAAAAAAACAAAAAACAAAGATGGATAGTTGGTTTTGAAATGTGAAGTCCAGGAAAATTATTTGTTTGACTACACTGTTAAATTCATTTTGAAAAGTGAATTGGTACAAAAAAAAATGAGTGGAATATCAATGTTAAAGGTGAAGACAATTTGCAAATTGTTGCACAGTGGCAGGCCAGTATTTTACCTGCTAAAGAAGAGAAGGAAAGCCCCCCCCAATCCAAAAACAATCCCAAAAAACCTCAAACCAAAAAAAATAAAAAATTAAAAAATTAGGCAGCAGGTGAAAAGGGCAAAGCATCCCAAACGTTAAGAAAACACACCACAGGACCGCAGAATATGAATCTAGGACACTAAATGAGATGAGAAAGTCAAATTGCAAAACATGTTCGCCAAAAACAAATGTGTCAGCTTGCGAGACGTTAGGCAACGCGGTGAGTGAAAGCGAAGCTTGCCATGAATCACCAGCTGAGCGAGAAGCGAGGAGAGGAGTGGGGAGGAGAGAAGAGGAGAGGGCAGACAGACTGAGGAGGCAGGAGGTGAGCACAGAAGCCCAGAGAGCAGAGGAGACGCACGGGGACACGACGTGGGAGGATTCAAGTTGGTGGAGGTAGCGTGGGCGTGTCTGAGCTCGTCCTTCCATGGCGGCTGTCGACCGAGAGACAGCAGACTGGATGAGTCACCCTGGCAGAACATGCTGATCACGCTCAACGCCTGTGAGTCATGTGCTCGAACATGACTGGCTTTACAGAAAAAATAAATGTAAAAAAAAAAAAAAAAAAAAATCTCAGACCGAAACTGATCAAGTTCGTAAGAGTTAGATTAGTGGTTAATATTAGAGTTACAGAGTGTGATAGCGCACTCTCGTAAAGTTTAAATGCACGGTCCAATTGGAGTTGATACAACAGCGGTTGACACCAATCATCAAAAGGATTTTGGGGAACCCTCATCAAACGCGATGTCGTCACATCACACAAGTTTGCATCTCGTCCAACCAAATGAAAGGTGCACCTTTACCAGTCTGGAATACATCTGTGTCAGCACTTCTAATACACCACTTTTCATCAAAGTCTAACATGTCAAAAAGTGGAAATGATAGCTTGCCGCCGGCAAATTAAACCCAAGTACAATAAACTCAGCCAATGAAGAAACACGCTAGACACTATAGTAGCGAGTGTGACGTTAATCATCCAGTGCGTTCTTTTCCCGAGGCTGGAACCCACACGTCTCCTAGCTTGCGCGCCGATGGCACGAGCGGCTGAGCTCAAAAGCCTGCGCCGCTAGCTCACCAGCCAGGACCCGCTTTTGAGAATTTACGAGGCCCAAGGCCAGACAAACGCACGTGTACGATGCAAGCTAGCATCGGTCAAGACGGATCTGTCATGCGCAAAATACACCAAACACTTTAAGAAGCTGCGGATGGTCATGGGTTTTACATTTAGGGTATTTTACGTTCTGCATACACCCACAGACCAACCCTGTTGTTGCCGACAAGCTGACAGAACAGGACAGGAAATGGACACAGCTGAATTGTGATTCTCAGAGGAACATTTCCGCCCCCCCCCCCCCACCACGAAATACTTTCACGTAATATTTCGATTTATGAAGCGACTATATCCTCAAATTCACGAGGAAAAGAGAGACAATATAGAGCAAAATAATTTCCCCAAAATGTTCGCTAGGGATTTATACTATGTGGTAAGTTTGGAATGACTTCAAGTGCCATAATTTACCTGTTGGTCGTCTGTGATATCCGAATGTACAATATGCACCCTCTCTTCTATTAGCTGCTGTAGTTTGCTGAGAGAAACTGGGAATTCCCCTCCGTTTTTTTCAAACACTGGACACTGGATGCAAAAAAAAAAAAAAATGTTGATTACAATATTTTCATTTGTTGACATACAATGTCACAAAATCCTTTAAACATTAATTTGGGGATTGTGGATGGGGAAATTCCGGTAATTCCACCATCCTAATTTAGACAGCGGTGACCATTTCTTGTAACGATGCCTAACTCGGCGATAAATTTAAATTTCTCTTTTTCCAAAGGTTGCGCCAGCTTCTGCAAAACTTGACAGCAAACATTGAGCGCCTGCTCAAGATGTACTCATTATTGCGAGTGTTGATGATATATCTGATAATGATCAAAACACGGCATCGCCGAGCAAGACCGGCGGCGGGATCATCTCGAAGAAGGAAGTCAACTCCGATGCATATGCAAGACTTGCAGATGGCAATTAATTCCCCACTCGCGACATGAGTGATGGCATTCATAACATGAGTGGGCCGGATGGTCATGACACGTTGAGATAATGATGTCCAATAAAATGCACTTGAAAGACAGTTATGGTCTCATTAGATAGATTGGGCGACACGTAAACAAGTCATTACGGAATATAGAAGATGTTGCTCTGTGCATGTGTTTGTCTTGACAAAGTAAAAAAAAATGAATACATTTAAATATACTGTTGTCAAACTTTTTTTTTTTTCTTTGTTTTGCTTCATGCCAGGAATTTGGGCAACCCAAGTCCGCTTTGGGAAACGTTGCCAAGTAACAGGAGAAGGAGAAACAAATGTTTCTCTTAGCTTTGCTGATGTACTAAAACTGAACGCAGGCGCAGAATCCTCGACCTTTCATGACAAATCTTGCAACTGAAAATAGCGGGGGACATTTTTCCAAATATGGAAAGAAAAAAACAAGTAAAACCATATGATTTGCTCCTGCATTGACACTGCTTTTCCCCATGGATAGGTTTGAAATGCCAACAACATCGTCATGATAACTTTTTAGGTTTGAACCCATAGGATCAATGAACCATCGCTAACCTGGCTTCATGCTAAATAGTTGCCCTCTTCAACACAAACGGAACCTCAACACATCATCATAAAACATTTCTGTCGCCGCTTAATAGTCAAAGGTGAATCTGTAAAGTTTCGATTCGGGAAGACTTACTCGAAGAAACGGAGCGAGCGACGAATTCATGGCGACAGGATTACCTCAAACTCATTTCCTGACTGAGCTCAGACCACTTGGGGGGCTCGTCTTTGCATGTGTGGCAGTGGGTGGGCTGCACTAGTGTGTGTACATGGAGACGACCCTGACAACAGTCTGAACAGTCTGCGTTGGTGCGACTGGATGAATGGCCGCTGGAGCCGAGGATGAGGAAAGAGCGCGGATACGGATTTGTAACTGAGAGTCGGCGCTTGGAATTGAAGCGGATATAAAATTGACAGACGTGAACCAAATATAAAGCTGAACAGTAGTGGTTCCTTTCATGACACGTTCAAGACAACCTTTCGACAAAATGTATCAACGAAAACATTGAAACTGGCAGTCTGAAATCACACCGAAGTTATGGCGACCTTTCAACAAAATGTATCAACGAAAATATGACACTCACAGTCTGAAATCACAACTGAGTTATGTGACATTAAATAAACAATGACTAAATTGGAAGATAATGCAGGTTTCCAGTCCGCACCCCCCCACCCTGTCGTTTGGATCCCCACCCCAGGGTGTGTCTCCTTGCAGCCAGATAACTGCGCGGCAGGACGCCAGATCTGACACACCTTAATAGGCAGGTCGCTATGATGTGGGCATTGCTGTCGCTTCCCTTTTTTTGTTTTTTTTTTTCCCTCTCCTCATATCTGCCTCCTGATCAACATGCCCAATATGACGTGAATGCTTTACAAGATTGTGCAGGTACTGCCTCGAACAAACCACGCTAAGTACTGTCGACGGCGTCATCGTAAACGCCGATAATTCCACCGTGTGTTGAGTCAGACTAGGTCTGTTTATGACGGCAAAAAAAAATAAAAATAAGACGGTCACGAGAGGAAACAAACGCGTTGGTGTTCCGTGCAAAGGCCAACTTCATTTGCTACGTAGAGGCAGCAAACAAAGTGAACTCCTTGGAAACGGCTATAATAGGACCTGGGCCTTCAATAGCGAGTCTAAAATGACTTAACTTGAGTTAATGACAGCAGAACACACTTGAAGAGAGCACGTACGTCCGATCACAACAACAGTGACTAGTATGGTGCAATGAATCTGGGATCCTCGAAAGTCTGTTCGCTCTTGCGCTAGCTGGTGGCTAGCACCTCTCATTCCATCATGGAAGGCCCCTCGACAACACACTGACATATATTCCAGCCACTTTTTTTTTTTTTTTTAAACACGGCGTGCGGTTTGTTCTGTAAAAATACAACAAGTTGCAACACTTGACACTATTCAAAAAACGAAAATTTCATTTGTCTTGTCGAGTTGTCCATGAGACTGTCTTTCCTTTCCTTTCCTTTCCTGAGTCAACTTTGGGAAGTGAGGCTTTGTAAGGCACTTCTCAGTAGTCAGCGCACACAGCAAAGTTGTCACGGTTGCCCCACAACAGTTTGGGGGGGGGGGGTGCACGGAGACGCGCTTTAAGTAACACCTTGTGTGGTGTCGACAACAGACAAACACATTCTTACCAGCGGCGAAAGAAAAACGGCGACACGTTTAGATTGCAATTAAATTTTGATGTAAACAATTGTTGTTGCTTCACGGTGAATTGGTTGTTTTGTATAGTACAGAAGAAACCCAAAAATTAGTCGTCATATAATATGTAAATATTAGTTCTAAATTGGACCCGCAAATTGGTGCCGTTAAATCCGGCTTCTTTTATCTTAGGCAGATGGCTAAAGTAAAGCCTTCGTCACTTCCCGGCTGAATTACTGAATGCACTTGACTTTGGAGTCAGCCAATCCTCCTCCATTAAGTGTTTCCAGTTGGTCCAGAATGCTGCTGCTCGCCTCTTGATTTATTACTTTGTTGTATGAATTCTTTTTGTTCCATGTACGGCACTTTGTATACAGCGGTGGTTGTTTTAAAGTGCTCTCGAAATACACTTGAGTTGAGTTGTTTGAGTTTAGACTGACACAAGTATTGAAAGCCGTGATTTAAATCTCACCACTTCATCATTCAAATAAACACAATATTTGCAAAGACAAACACTGCGGAATAGGCAATAACCTGTTTTGACTGCATCATGTTACTGAAGGGTCCTTAGGGTCTTAGCAGTCTGTCAAGCTACAGTCTGCCGGTCTAGTTTATTGCAGCCATTTTTTTTTTTCGCTAATAGAAAAATAAACAATTTGTGGACCAAGCCAGACCATATTGCTCCACCTCGACCAAACAATGGATCCCGGATTTGACGCAGCGGTTGTTATTATTAAAATGTATGCATTAGTTACCGAGAGATTAATGCTCTGTGAAGCACAACACAATCCAAAAGTTGGGTCTGAGCCTCACAGACTGACGTACCATGGTGTAAAACTCGGCATTTCTTATAGCTTTATGGTCAAGCATACCTACCTGATATACAATTTAACATTGAAAATATGCATCTAGAGCTGGATCCCAGTTAATGTTCATCGAGGTTTGGTCATTTTAAATAAGGATATCTCATGTTTTGTTATCGGTAGCTAAAACCGGAAGAAGCTAAAAATAAATGAAAATTGTTCCTTCCACCTCATCATCATGTTTGATTAGCATTGGAGCGACTCATGTATCCAGAGAGAGCGGGTTCAGACAGACATAAAAGATACGTTGTGCATTTTCAACTCTTTCACACCACTCCAAAAAGTAGAACATTGACAAACAACAACAACAACAACAACAACTCTCCAAGCACTGCAGCTCCCACCAAGCCTGCACCCACTCGGCCCTGTGACGAGGCTTAATGAGTAATAAGCACTGGGTGACCAGTTTTGGAGTCAAGCCAACACTCCCAGATGCCAAATTGAAGCCTGGAGGTACTGCATAATGCAAAACAACACTCATTAAAACTTGAAGGGGAAAAAAAACAAAAACAAGGCGCTATAAAATGCAAAAATTTCACCACGATGCATTTCAGGAGAAGCTTCGTGGCAATTTCTCCACAACGGAGACGAATAATTAGAGCTCTCAAGCATCCATTAGGGGAAGAAATTACAACATGTAAAAATGGGCTTCATGACCTATACGAGATGGCTTGAGAATTAGCTAGATGGGGATGGAGAGAGCTTGGAAAAGGCAACGGAATGAAAATAAGGGACACCAACCGCGGCATCTCGGGGCCATGACCCCGCCCGACACAATCGGCCCCGGTGTTACATTTGTATTTGTGTCAGTGTTTTTATCATTACAAAACTCTTTGCGTCTTTCAGTGCTTTTGGCGCACGTGGCAAAGAAAGCCGGGCCCTTCAGCACAAAATTTTCTCCAGCTAAAGTGGGATGTTCAAGAACCTGCCTCACTGTGTTGTGCACCGTGCGCAATTCCCTTTCGGTTTCTTCTGCAAGTTGGTGAAGACAGAGTTGTGAGACATTTTTATTGTCTGCACTCAACAGTGTGATTTGGATCAAATAATACATCAGTCATTTATCCGGAGGCTGAAAAGCCTCCCATAACACATTATGGTCATATCTTGGAGATTTATCAAAGAAAGCCAATCTGGCATGAGAGGAAAATACTTGTCGGGTGCCCATTTCCTCATTCCCTTCTCAACCGGCCACGGAGAGTCTAATCTTTGTGATCGTTTCGGAGGTTGAAATGGGCATCAGTCGAGTTGTTCGCAAAAATTTCGGTGCCAATTGAGCACGGCATTTGGAAATTATTAGCAATGCAAGTATAATGGTTTTAATGGAAAATATTGTTCGGTTCTGCCCACTAAAACATGGGAAACGGGGGCGTGGCTATATCACTGACTAGAAAAGGGGTTTTTGAGAGAGGGTAGTTTATTTACTGATCTCTCCTAAACAAATTGATCAACTTGAAAGTGCAAGCTAATATCATTTTCCTGAGAAAAATACATAAACTGAACTTGTTAGTGAAAAAAATGGACCATCTCGACTGGATGATCCCTTTAAAGAATGACGTCGGTCCTCCAGAATGTGCCATCCAAGAGAAATGCTGATTAGTAAGTTGATTATTCAGGAGCTCCTTCACTCTCATTTGCATGTAGCTAAAACTAGAAGGAGGCAATGTTTGGCTTCTGACTGACTGCGGGGTAATACAAACACGACATAACAGGTTTGGTGAGTCAAACGCACTGTTGGTAATTTAGGATGGCTTTTTAAGAGGCCTTCTATTTCTGCACGTACTCGCATAGAAATGAATGTGAAGCTGGGCTTTGCTTTTAAAAGTACAAATGTTAAAAAAAAAGGGGGGGTGGGGGGAGATGACGAGATTCTGGCTAATTCTGTCCATCTTCATTGCGAACAAACTGGGGAAGGTCTTTTCCTGTTCCAACTTGACAAATTCTTCAAAGAAGAGTGAAAGCGCCGAAATGGGGATGACTCAATACTTTCTATTCATTTCCTGTATTTGGAATGCTCAAGTGGCCCAATACTTTTGCCTGTATAATGAAACCAGGTAGCGTTTGAATCGTCTCAACTAATGCATTAAGCAAGTTAAACATCATCAAAGAAATTCATTCAGCCCAGTTGCCTTCCCTTCAGAGTCCAGCTAGCACATTATTGCACTGTCAACAAAGTCTGCTCGTGCTTTGTTTGTAGATTTGCTGTGATGGTCGGGGAAAACAAAAAAAAAAACAAAGAATTACGGGATTGAAAGGTTTCCTGTTGACATTAGAGGCATTTGAAGCCGCTTGTGACAAGTGGCAAACGGATCTGCACTAAATTCTCTCTTCTGTGACTTCCCTTTTAGCTTCATGCTCACCTCCTAAATCCATTTGCATGCATAAACTTTTAACCTCTGCCCAACACAGAAATGCCAGATGATTCATGAGTATTATTTGGTTGCAAAAGTCCCTTCACATCATTTCCCAGAGATATACAAGTCATCCATTCTCAAAATGCATGACATTCCAAGAGTTGTTTCTTCAAGCTGCATGCCCACTTTCTATTTCAGACACATTTGTAATTTAGCCACAGTCCTTGAGAAAGTTATGCTTTTGAGAGGAGGATCTGCTGCGCTTGCCAGGCCAAGATGAGCAACAACGGATGTTCAAACTGCTTTTATTTTTACTAGCATTTGATTTTGTTTTCTTTTTTCCGGAATATATTTTCCTTAATTTGGGCAGATTTGGTTATAACTTTTATTCACACAATTTTATTCATCTTTAGATGTTTGACTATACGATACTTTACTATACGTTTACACTGAAAAGCATGTATGCCGCGTTTTCGTTTAGAAGCTCAAAATTATAGTTGACAGCCAAGCCAAACTGAACATAATGTCACGTGAATCGAAAAGGCAACAACAAACCCCAAACTTAACTGGCATTAAAATTAGTGTGGGTCAGCAATTATCTTTTACATATGTAAACTACCAAGCGACAAAAATGGTGGGGCAGAGGGAGAAAAAAATAAATAACATAAGTCATGCTGCTTCCACTGATCCAGTTTAGCATTAGCATCCCCGCGTCAGGTCAATCAAACAGCGACGTTAAGAACTGATGCAAACTGATAACCCTTCGAACGGTGGCAGTTTGATACAAACACATTTGTTGGATTGCTAAATCGTCCACCGAGCATGAGGCACGTTCCATATCTCGTTGCTTCGATAAATCACAGCTCTTATGAGCGGCTGGGATGTAATAACCCTGTAATAACCCTGTAATAACAGGGTGTAAGCATTCAGTGATGGCCAATCAGGAGCAGAAGAATGTCAGCAATGACTAGTGCACACCGTGCTCTTCCCTGACCCGCCTCACGGGCTGACAAAGCTCAATGACGCGAGCGGGTGAGAGGCAGAGAAAGTGGGTTGGATAACCATGTACAACACCACTTCACATTTCACTCATTGAGCCTTTGTTTTAAGGCTACGAACACACGCACACACAAACACGAGCGTCAAATATTCCAAATATTTGGCGGAACGGTAAGTGATGTTCGCCATTCCAACTATTTCATGTGTGCTACCATTCCGCTCACACCCTCATTCCTCGCGCACCTCCAACAACCATCCAGCTTCCTACTTCCCATGATTCACTGCTGATTGGCAGATTAGGCCATTATGTCAATTTCGGGCAGGCTGTGATTTAATTAGCTCTGTTGTACAAAATTCAACAGATCAATATGAAGGAAACAAATCTCATGAAACGACCGGGGATAAGCAGTTATGCTACAACTGGACTTTGTGGTACAGTACCAATTCAAATGAGAGAAAAATAAAAACGGAACTTTCATATTCATCTATCCATTTTCTAATCCACTTAATCCTCATGAGGATTGCGGGCATGCTGCAGCCTATCCCAGCTGACTTCCGGCAGCAGGCGGGGGACACCCTGAACAGCTAATTGGGTGCCAGCCCATCGCAGGACAAATCGCGGAGAAAACCCGGGCAATCACAGGGAAAACATGCAAACTCCACACAAGAAGGCCACCATGTGTGTGGACACTAAATAAATAAATAACATTGACATGTATGGTCAAAAATAAATCCCACAGGCCAACCAGAATGGAACCTTTTTTTTTTTTTTTTTACTTTTTCAAAAATTGTAGCTTTTGCAATTTGAAAAATTGCCTTCTTCTACATTGCGATGTCAATTTAAATGTGATTAATTGCTCTATTGTAAAAGCTCGACTCACTACTATGGTTTGCCTATGAGGGACATAACAGATTATAAGAAATACAAGGGCCTGTCAATCAAAAATAGCATCGAGAGGTTTTAAAAATAGATCCATAGGAATAAAAACAGTTTTGCGGCACATCATTATTCAGCGAATAACGAGTGGCAGAGTGACACTCGCACTTGGTGACTGGATTGAGACGGCCGCATTCTAATGCTCGCCGTGAATTCCACAGCGTTAATGATTGATGGGCACCAAATGCCACCTCAGGGTGTTCCTCATACCAGAAGACTTGACATTTGCAGTATAATAGAAACTGACGGCGCACATAATGGGCGGCTTGTGCACTAAGTGACCAGTTCATCGAGCCTGATGCCACATATGGCAAGAAGTGCAAGGCAAGTCCTTCCATCCAATGACGATTGAGGAGCTGCACAATTTATACCGCAGCCAATACAAATGCACAACAATTAATATGTGTTGCAAACATACAATTCGATGTAGACAAAATTTTCCAGATTACATGCACCGAAAATTCTTTGAACATCGATTTGTGTCACCTTTTTATTTTGACGTGTTTACCTCAAAATCAAAGTGGTGGTCGATTGTTTTCATAACATAGCAGAATTTGGTGTACTCGAGCCCATGGGCCTGAAATGGTGTGAAATTACAATTACAAACACAATAGGACAAGGAGAGGAGAACGACAAAACCAACAATGACACCTTATGTCATCCTGATCGATGACAGATTGGCAACACCCTGAATGAAAAAAATCCGGCAAGGCTTGCACGCCTCAACAGAAAATTGAATGTGACACAGCCGCAGCATGCACTCGAAAATGGTCACATGGCCGCCATGCAAGACAAGCACATGGAAAGAATTTTACTCACAGTTACGAACAAATAATTTTGCGTTTCCTATATTGGTGAATTGTTTTCCTGCTTCACACACCGATTGAACTCTCGGTAAGATGCAGCGCGGTGCAGCTCGGCATCACTAAATCTCCAACTACCGAAATAAACAATGAACAACGATACAGCAAGCAGCTACGTGAATATCGTTCTAGGTGTGCCTAATGGTGTCTATGTACATTTCCGAGTCGTGTTCTTAAAGATAACACGTTGCATCCTTACCTGCAAAACGCAGATCGGATCCCTTGTGCATTGATTACCAAGTGTCTCGTGTTCTTTAAGAAAAAAATTAAATAAAAGCTAGACTGTGATCCAAATCATGGAGGAACGATTGACAAATTCAGACCGTGTAGTTTCGGACCCCTTTTTTTGGCAATAATGTAGCGTGTGTGTGTGAGAAAGGGGGTTGGAGGGGCGGGGGG